AAGCTATTTTACACCCTATTTGCAGGTATACTAGTCATTCTTGTTTTTGTTATTTACTAATGTTTTGTGAAAAGTTCACAGCACAAATGTGCAATATAATACGTAGCAGTCTGAATATTATTTGGAATACACATTGATGTTGTACTTAAAGGAGATCTTCACCCTAAATCACATCCTGTGCTGGCTTGTCTCCTCCCTCCTCCCTCTCTTACCAATTAATTTTTTTGTTTTTTAAATAAACTTTATTCATGCTGCAAGGTAGTAACTTCTGCTTTTCTTGCCTAGGCAAGATGTTCTCTCTGCCCCCTGTGCTTGCATAGATGTGCCACAGGGATCGGTTCCTAAGATATGTTGGAGATCCAACAGCATGTACTATATAGTATTGTGTGTTAATATCACTTGACCAGTAGATGGCACTGTACACTAAGGTTACCAGTTGTGCATATGTGTAAAACTTGTTGGTTCTCTCTCTTCTTCTCTCTCTCTCAAAGCAAGATGTCTGCTATCACTGTCTGCTGAAATGTGCTCTGTATGTTTGTAACTTAAGCCACACAAGTAAAACAGAATTCTGCCTCATCACAAGCTACCAGTGTCTTCTCTAACACATAACCAACAAGATAGTCCTACTACTGTACATCTGTGCATGCTCCAGGCCCTCTGTGCATTGGTGGACTCGCAGAGTTTCCATGCATGCGCAAAGACTGGCAACAAGGAAGTCTGAAACTGTCCCTAGCTTTGCACATGAATGGAAACCCCTTGAAAACCCCCAGATGCACTGACGGAGCTCTGCCAGGACCCACTGTCCGGGCAGCCCTGTGAGCGCATGCACAGCAATTGCGAAGCTGGAAGGGAGGTGGAGTCTGGCCATTGCAGGACTGCAGTTCTGCTTTAACCTCCTGGATCAGATAGAAAATAGTTCATGCTCTTATGCATTACAAAATCAGTGATCCCAGTATCATGTATTGATCTATATTAAAGCATATCTAAATCAAAAGCAAAAAAAAAATGTATTTCAGCTTAGCAGTCTTTAGATATGGTCTCTGCATTAGTTTTCCCTTTTCCCTTTATTTTTACCTGGAAATCCTTGAATATCACACTTCAAGTCCCTTTTTGGCTACACTCATTTCTCCACTGTATCTATAGAAAACGTCATGGTTGTCACACAGACTGGTCTTCAAACGTGTCTGCCTTTGTTCATTTCCAACACATTGTGGATTTATTGGACCAGGGGTGGACTGACCATTTGAGCACTCGGGCACTGCTTTTTCATAGGCTTTTTTGGGTGTGGGCAAGGAAACAGGGGCCCCTTGATCCCCTATTGCCCGAGGGCCCCATGAGTTGTCAGTCCGCCCCTGTATTGGACTAGTAGTTTACACAACAAAGATACGGATGTTTATGCCTTATTTTCAGTCATAGGAAAAGACAAGGATGCTGCATTTTTGGTGTTATCAACAGGTATTATCTGTAGTTGCTGAAAATTGGTTTGGCTTGAAAGAAAAATAACAAATGCACCGCCACATCTAAGCAATAATAAAGCTGCTAAATATTACACCTTTGTCTTTATGTTTAGATATGCATTAAACTAGAACTATAGGCAAAACTTTTTTTTTTCATTTTGGATAAAAGGGGAGGATTGAAAACTCTTTTTTACATCAGTATCTCATAGCCAAAGAGGAAGTGAGTTATACGTTAAACTACCCAAAAACTGACATTTTAGAGTTAGTTGGAGAAGGGCTATCCCATGATATACAGTTGTGCTCAAATGTTTGCATACCCTGGCAGAAATTGTGAAATTTTGGCATTGATATTGAAAATATGACTGATCATGCCAAAAAATGCTCTTTTATTGAAGGATGATGATCATATGAAGCCATTTTTTTAATGAAATAGTTGTTTGGCTCCTTTTAAAATCATAATAACAGAAATCACCCAAATGGCCATGATCAATAGTTTACATATCCTGGAATGTTTGGCCTTGGTACAGACACACAAGGTGACACACATGAGTTAAAATGCCAATTAGAGGTTAATGTCCCACATCTGTGGTTTTTTAATTGCAGTTAGTGTCAGTGTATAAATAGTCAATGAGTTTGTTAGCTCTTACAAGGAAGCACTGATTAGGCTAGATACTGAGCCATGGGGATCAGAAAAGAACTGTCAAAAGTCCTGTGTTAACAAGATAATGGAACTTTATAAAGATGGAACTATTTGATAATAAATGTCTTCATATGATCATCATCCTTCAATAAAAGAGTATTTTTTGGCATGATCAGTCATATTTTCAATATCAATGCCAAAATTTCACAATTTTCCGCCAGGATATGCAAACTTTTGAGCACAACTGTACCTAAACGTTTCTTTGTGGGATTCCACTGGCAAGATATGTACACTGGCTTTAACACTCTGCCAACCTGCAAATGCAGCAGTAGGAAAAAGACTTCACTGAAGTGAAGGAGAGGAAGAGCTTCCAACTATGACTGGATGATCTTGCCACTGGATTCCCCAAGAGATATAAAAAGTGAATCAGGTCAGGCAGCAACCACCTAAAAAAGAAATGCCAAAAACAGATAAAGCATAACATCTCACAGATAAATACACACCTTGACACAGAACCAGATGGAGAGAGGGAAAGTGAGGATTAGCAGCAGAAGACAGCATAAAATGAGGAGCACCTCACATACTTGGAGACCTGTAGGCTTCAAGACTGCAATTACAAAAATGTATAATATAAACTGTATTGTAAATACTGATTTTATAATGCAGCTACAATTCATCAAAATATAAAACAAAGATCAAATACAAATAGGCAAACTTAAACTTAGCACTAATTGTAGTCTAAACAGGATTCAAGGGGTTTATAAGAGCCATGCACAAACAATCTCATGAGCTCTACATGGCCATCTCTCTTATTAAAGGATGAGTTCACTTTTTTTTTTCAAAATAATCAGCTCCCCATGTGTTTTTTACAATGCATTTTGCTGCGATTGCCACTTGTTTTTCACATGGAAAAATGTGTTTGCTTCTGTGTTTGGTGTGGCGTTAACAAGTAATGGCACTGAAAGCGTAACTGGGTAATTCTAGGTGTATAAAGGTGGCCATACACAATGCAATCTGATTGTACAATTTCCTTTGGATTTTAACCTCCCTGGCGGTATGATTATGTCAGGAATTTTGTACCAAAAGCGGTACCATTTTTTTGCATGGAAATATGTATTTTTTTTATTGTAGGCCTGTAATTTAGGAATAACTCACTGAAATCTGTCTGAACAAGAGTCTAGTAAACATTCCGGGTATGATAAAACTTGAAACACGAAATCATAAATTATAATTTAATAAATACTCATAAAAAATTATAATATAATAATAAATTTAATTCAATAATATAATCAAACCAAAAACACTGAAATTTGAAATATAGCACCAAGTTCGCACATCACTGAGCAAAGTCGCAAAATCGTTTTCAGTGTCTGATGACGAATTTCCCCCATGAATCATTATCACTCAATTCTGCAAGTAGTTCTGATTTACTATCGCTGTTCTCTAGCCGGTCTAAAACCGATTTTGAAATAAAGGGACGCTTTTTGGACGCCGTGGACTTTTCTAAGTTTCCAGGCAGAGAGAACAGTCAAAATGCAGGCAGGGCACAGGACAAAGTAGTAGGGACAAAATGTATGTGAAATGCTTTGATACAGGAATGTTTTGCTATGAAATAATAGTTTTAAAAAAAATTTAATTTTTTTTTTTATTTTCAAATTTGCCGCCGGTTCCGTCACAGGGACCGGAACATGGAAGCCAGATGCCGGGATCGGCCGGAGGAGATGGCCGGGGATGCTGCAGGGAACACATCACGGGAGCGAAGGACAAGGTAAGCGCTGTAGGGAATCCCTTAGCAATGCCGCATGGTAAGCCCGAGTGTAGCTCAGGGTTACAGCTTTTGGTACTGAAACTTTACCCCGAGCTACACTCAGGAATACCGCCAGGGAGGTTAAAGAACTATGGAATAGGATGACCCACCTACACTATGTTGCCAAAAATATTGGGAAGCCTGCTTTTACACGCACTTGAATTTTAATGGCATCCCAGTCTTAGTCCGTAGGGTTCAATATTGAGTTGGCCCACCCTTTGCAGCTATAACAACTTCAACTCTTCTGGGAAGGCTGTCAACAAGGTTTAGGAGTGTGTCTATGGGAATGTTTGACCATTCTTCCAGAAGCTCATTTGTGATGTCAGGCATTGATGTCGGATGAGAAGGCCTAGCTCGCAGTCTCCGCTCCACCTCATCCCAAAGGTGTTCTATTGGGTTGAGGTCAGGACTCTGTGTAGACCAGTCAAGTTCGTCCACCCCAAACTCACTCTTCCATGTCTTTATGGACCTTGCTTTGTGCACTGGGCTGCAGTCATGTTGGAACAGGAAGGGGCAATCCACAAACTGTTCCCACAAAGTTGGGAGCATGAAACTGTCCAAAATGTCTTGGTATGTTGACACCTTACGAGTTCCCTTCACTGGAACTAAGAGACCAATCCCAACCCCTGAAAAACAACCCCGCACCATAATCCCCCCTCCACCAAACTCTACACTTGGCACAATGCAGTCAGGCAAGCACCGTTCTCCTGGCGATTGCCAAACCCAAACACGTCCATTGGATTGACAGACAGAGAATTGTGATTGGTCACTCCAGAGAAAATGTCTGCACTGCTCTAGAGTCCAGTGGCGGCGTGCTTTACACCACTGCATCCGACACTTTGCATTGCACTTGGTGATGTAAGGTTTGGATGCAGCTGCTTGGCCGTGGAAACCCATTCCATGAAGCTCTCTATGCACTGTTGTGCTAATCTGAAGGCCACATGAAGTTTGGAAATCTTTAGCTATTTACTCTGCAGACAGTTAATGACTTCTGCGCACTTCAGCATGCGCTGATCCCGCTCTGTCATTTTACGTGGCCACTTCATGGTTGAGTTGTTGTTCCCAATTACTTCCACTTTGTTATAATACCACTAACAGTTGACTGTGGAATATTTAGTAGGGAGGACATTTCACGGATGGGCTTATTGCACAGGTGGCAATCACAGTACCACGCTTGAATTCACTGATCTCCTGAGAGCGACCCATTCTTTCACAAATGTTTGTAGAAACAGTCTGCATGCCTAGCTGCTTGAATGTATACACCCGTGACCATGGAAGTGATTGGAACACCTGAATCCAATGATTTGGAGGGGTGTCCCAATACTTTTGGCAATATAATGTATCTACCCAATCACTCCGTATCCAATCAGGCAGGCCCTTACACTACATAGTTGATGTAGATCTAAAGGAGATTGTACAATCAGATTGTATAGTGTTTGTGAGCTTTACAGAACCCAGAACACAATTCTCCTGTTTTCAATACTACAGCTCTTTCCACATAGGCCGTTATCTGTTCACTCAGCACATTGTGCCAAATGAATGATCTATGCAAGATGAAAGTTAAAGTGTTACTAAACCCAGGACCCTGCATTCACTATATATGGTCTCCTACAGTACACAGAACATGGAAGTGCAATTATTTTAGTAAATACAAACTGCTAAATACCTTTTCCAATCAGTTGTTGGAGCAGTCTTGTGACTTCTATCAGTGTTCAGCAGAGCACTGGTTAAAGCTTGTAGAAGGAGTTTTCTTTCTGCTCTAGGAGGATGTAGAACCCTTGACCTCTGTCTTTACAGTGCTGATTGGCCCTGTGCTGATCACATGTACTCCCAAGAAAAAAAAAAACTCTCTAGCAATACACACCAAACTGAGCATGTGCAGAGTGTCTCCACATAATATGTCTTATCAGGAGATAAAAGGGAGACACTGGAAGAAGGTGAGGGTCAGAGAAGTTAAGATCAAACAGCATTTTTACACAATGCAGAGAATTAACCCCTTAGGTTCCACAGTGAATATAAAAAGCATGCTTTACTTCATATACAGACTGATTTTACTGTTGTGTGTTTAGTGACACCTTAATGTAGAAGAATAAAAATGAATGTCTGTGTATTTAGTGAGAACAGTGATTGCTGATTGATTGCTTTTCATTTTATATTCATGCACTTGGAAGTGAGTGGTAGGTAGGAGGGTAGATGATGCAGGATGTGTGCTAATGAGGTCAGCTGGTCAACTCCTCCCTGTGTCATGACCTAAAATCTCTGCAGGAAATAAGGCAGAACTAATGGAGAAGCCTTTTGGACAGCCATCTGCGCACTGACATAAAGGTGGGTAGAAAAAATGGAAAGCTTTTTAATTATTGCAAAATAAGTAGATTAATGCTATATTGGTACATAAAGGTGCTGGAATGTAAGAAAAAAAAATTTAACCAGACTCAGCCCAACACTGCACTACTGAACCCTACTGCAACTCTCAAAGGCTTGAATGGATTGTTCTCTTTTTTTTTTTTAATGGGCCACATACAGATTTCTCATCTAGATTCACAGGCAGAGAGAGCTATCTCCATCATTGCTAGACTCATTGGTGTTGATTATGGCCCCTTGCACACAGGGGCATCTAGCTACTGTGAGTCCCTCCTGGCAGATCCAGTTTCCCTGCCTAGCAATGCCTTTTGAAAATGTTTCAGAATTGGAGAATCTGTAAAATGCACATTGGTTGTGGACTAGACAATTCTTCTCTAAAAAGAACAGATGGAAGATATAAAGGTAGACATTCTGTTAAGACAGGATTGCTATACTGCAGGCATGGCAAACTAATTAAGATTAATCCTTAAGAACAAATTCCACGCAAGTAGATAAATAAAACAGTTTAAATGTTTAGATGATAGCTCTTGCAAGACAGCACAGCCATGTCCTTGATGTCCATTGCTGCAGCAGTATAGTCTGAACAAGAACAAAGTTGACCGATTGAAAAATGAAGGAGTAGCAACATATGGGTAAGCTCTTTCCTCTGCTTTTCCCTGTCCACATATAGACTCCATGAACACTAACGTTTTTTTTAGCTCAAAAAATGCTGGGAAAAACACACTGGTAATAGCATTTTTAGTAGTGTTCACAAGCATTAGCACTTTATTAGCATATTAATACATATAGAGGGGGAAAAAACTAGAAAAAAAAGCATTTTAGTAACATTTATTAGGGTTTTCTGCTGGAAAAAATACTCCAGAAAACTTTTTCTGCTTCTAGATGCTGAAGCTCAAAAAATGCTAATAAGCCAAAGTACTGTGCATTGACACATAGTAAACACTGCTTAGCAGAAAAACATATTCTGATAATGGCTTCTAGGAGCTTAAAAAAAAATGCTAGTGGGCATGGAGCCTCACACTGCAACTGAGCATAACTGGATTGCAGAACTGTCCCTGCCTATTCCAGTCTGAGTGCTTTTATTCAAGGGATTCCAAAAGATAATATCACAAACAAACTACACTAACTGAATTTTTAAAAAAATACTCTTTTAATGAATTGATTGATATTTATTAAGTTTGTTTCCATTTTCCCAATATACATAAATGAGAAGTAATAAATATTCTAGGTATATTTGAGTGCCTACCTTCATCCTTCTGTCCACTTTCCAGAAGAGCCATAACTTCTGTCTCTTGATCTGAAGCCACCACATCATCCACATCAACCACAGCAGAAACCTTTGTATCGTTCTTGCTGGGCTCCCTACTCCTTCCAGACCTAGATCTTCCTGAGCTTTGACTGCTTTTCTTTTCTCTTTTAGATCCCTGACTAGATGTGTCTCTCTGCTTTTGAGGAGGCTCTCGAGAAGAGCTGCGAGATCTCTTCTCAGTCATAGTTGTGATAAACAATGAGGGGGCAGAGCAACCTACTTATATGATGCCAGCAGGTGGGAGATATCAAGGAGGACAGATACTAATGAAGATGTGCATTTAATTAAACTGTCTATTGTAAATGATAATTGCTTCTTGTCCTCCCCCCCAAAAAAAAAAAAAATATATGTGACTGGTAGGTAATGCGTAGTGACACATCAGCTGACACTGACCACAATTAATTGACAATTGTGATTAGAATGTATAAAATACGTAAATCTAACATTTCATACAATCCCTGGCAAAAAGTAGGGAATCACCACTCTTGGAAAATGTTCATTCAATTGTTTAATTGTGTAGAAAAAAACTAATCATAGACATGCCTCAAAACTATTTTCATTTAACATTCCAACCTTCTGGCTTTAAGAAACACTTAAAAAAATAAAAATGAAAGAAAACTGTAGTCAGTTGCTACTGTTTTTGCAGATCACACAGAGGAAAAAAATATGGAATCACTCAATTCTGAGGAAAATATTATGAAATAATAATAAAAAAAACCAAAACACTACAGCGGGGTTTCTCAACCTTTTTTCAGTCAAGACCTCCTTTAAAATTATGGACACTCCTAAAATCTAAAATGGGGTGCCTCAAGACTGTACACCATTTTAAAAGGGCACCCCTTTCTAATAGTTTTATATAACACAGCAACATACACACATGTAGGACACCTGACAGAAGTGATTTATTCTTCCAAAACATATACACTTATGCACACTGGTACTGAGTAGTATTCCAATGTTTCTCTTCTACCTTAGTTTTTCTCCATCACTGTGCTAATGTGACCCCAGCACTGATGGAGAGGGGCAGGATAGGGTCAAACGAGGATGCTGTGCTGGCAGCTGACACCTCCTTAAAAACTGATGATGTCATTGGTTGTCAGGATGCCAGCAGGTAGAAGGTTATAATGGTGCACAAAGAAAACCTGTGGCTTTGTATATCTAAAAGGCAGGCTTGTTCCACCCGCTGGCTTGTATACAAGTTGTGGGCAATTTTGGACATTTTGCCAAAGCACCCCTGAGTGAGAAAGGCTGCACTACAGTACACCACTAGCATTTCGTTGCACCACCTCTGGCTTTTATAACAGCTTGAATTGACATTGATTTAACTATCGACAAACCGTATTCTTCATCATTCTGGCTCCAACGTTCTCTTATTGCAGTTGCTGGATCAGTTTTGAAGGTCGAAGTCTTGTCATTTTCTTTCATTTCCACCATAGATGATTTTGAATTGGATTGAGGTGCAGACTATTTGCAGGCCATGCCATTGACATTATGGCTCTGATTTACTAAGAATTGAGTATACCAGCAGACTCTGAACATTCAGGCAGACTCAAATCAATCAAGACCTGTCAGTCTTCTGAAAGGCGTCTAGCAATCTCATTGAAAAGCGTCTACTTTCCTGTTAGTAAATGTGGAATCGCGTCTGGCACATTTTTAGGTGCAATACCGGATATGTTCGCTAGGTGGATCACAAGCCCGGGCTTTGTACCATTGGCGTTTTTCTGTTTGCGTATGAGAATACTTAGAATGTAAAATAAAAAGTACACCTATATTATAATTTGTTTTTTTTGTATTTTTGCTGTTTCTCCAAAATGATCAGACAACTAATGCATTTACTAATGAATGTAATACATTCTGTTTTCAAATGTTAAACATTTTCACACTTATATCTCAAATAATTTGGAATGTCTAGTTCTAATTTGCCAATATAATGATATACAGTTGCAAGAAAAAGTATGTGAACCCCTTGGGATTACGTGGAGTTTTGCATGAATTGGACATAAAATGTGCTCTGAATGTCATCTAAGTCACAACAATAGAAGAACACAGTCTGCTGAACATAATACTACACAAACATTAGATGTTGCCATGGTTTAATTGCACTTAACATGTAAACATTCACAGTGCAGGGAGGAAAAAGTATGTGAGGCCCTAGCTTAATGACTTCTCCCAGAGCTAATTGGAGCCAGGAGTGAGCCAACCTTGACTCCAATCAGTGTGATGATATTGGATGTGTTGCTGACAGCTGTCCTGCCCTTAAAAAACACACACCTGTTTTGGGTTTACTGGTTTCAAGAAGCACTGTCTGATGTGAACCATGCCTCGCAGAAAAGAGCTCTCAGAAGACCTACGATCAAGAATTGTTGACTTGCATGAAGCTGGAAAGGGTTAAAAAAGTATCTCCAAAAGCCTTGAAGTTCATGTGTCCACGGTAAGACAGACTGTCTACAAATGGAGAAAGTTTATCACTGTTGCTACTCTCCCTAGGCGTGGTCGTCCTGTAAAAATGACTGCAATAGCATAGCGCAGAATGCTGCATGAGGTAAAGAAGAATCCCAGAGTGTCAGCT